CTTTTTTTTGGAGATAAGAAAAGCAAGGTACAGAGAGGTTAAATGACTAGCCCAAAGTCACACTGTTATTAAGTGGCAGAGTCACGATTTGATTTTGAATCTACATCTCTTCTCCTTCTTGGATCGCCATCTTCCCCCTCTTTCTAGGTCTCACCGCCCACCGTCAGTCTGTCCACTGCTCCTCTGGGTCTCCATTCCTACTCCCCTCTGCATCTGTCTCCAAGTCTCTCCTCCCCTCGCAGAAATTTTTTACCCATCCCCTCTCTCTCCTCCAACCCCAAGCTTGAGACCTCAGTGTGCCCGCTCCGCGCTCCAGGACCATCCACATCCCTCACAACGAACCTGCTCAGACACTTGCTTTCTCTGGCTGAGAAAAGCAGCCCCAGGTGGCAGAGGCTGAGAAGGGGTCAGGGAGCGGCCCTCTGCGGGCAGAGAGAAGCGGAACCTCAAAGATGAAAATACAGTCCGCTATAATACTGCCCTGCAGCAAGAAGATCTCAGATTAGACCTCAAGGAGGACTTCCCGAGCTGCGGCCGCGCGTGGAAGGGGCAGCACAAGATAAGGCAGCCTGATAAAGAAATGACCGGAGCGTGGGGTCAGAGGTTTTCCAGATAATCCAGGCTAGCCCCGCCTGCCCCGCCTCCTTACCTCCAGTACTCGGCCCACCCAATCCTCCGGAAACCACAGAGAGGTTGTCGGCTTCGGGCCAGAGAGTCACCGCGCGACGAGTCCTCCTGGTTCCCCGCGACATCTCTCTCGCTCCCAGATTCCTTTTGTCCGGAAGGGTATAGAGAACAGGGACTGGGTAGGGCCAGAGAGGCCCCCGACGTGCCGGCCCTTCTCTCCTTGGCGAAGTCCTCTCTCCTCTTTGGTTGTTCCCGCCCCCTATTCCGGAAACGCCCATCTAGCCGGCCGCCGGATTCACCACAGAGAAGCCCAAGTTGCGATAGAGTGCCGAGTCGCGCCAGGCTTACGTCATGCAGGCGCCGCTCTCTGAAGGCTTTCCCCGCCCACTCCGGCTCCGTTCTCTCTTTCCGGACGTGGTGGAACAGAAGGCGCCATCATGGTGAGTGCGCTTTGGGACGTTCGGGACTGTACCATCCACCGCCATCCGCTGTGGTCTCGGGCTGGAGGCGCACCGGAGGGAGGCAGGGGTTCCGGGGATGTCCATAGGAGGCGACTCCCGTGGTGGGGGGCTGTTTAGGGGACTTGGACAGCAGGGATGGATCAGTCGTATCAGCCTCCAGCCCCTCCTGTATTTCTCCATTGAATGGATGCCCAAATTGAGGTACGAGGAGGCTAAGTGATAATGATTAAGGTCTAAGTGCCAGGAGGTGGCGGGGCCAGGATTCTGACCCAAGCAACCCGGACCTGTCACTCCTAAGCCTAGAAATTTGGGTTCTGGGGAGTGTCGAACGTCCAGTGTCCGGGTTTTGGGACCCGACAGGCCTCCGTGCGAGTCTCGGCTCCCTGCCAGCGCTGCGATCTTGCTTCCCCAGCCCGTTCCCCACTTTCTCCATCTGTTTGATTACACAATTCCATTTCACAGATCTGAGTTGGGGAAGAAATCAGTTGCAGGAAGTGCCCATTGTGGGTTCTTGTAAACGTTGCGTGGGTTAAACAAGAGCTCTAAAGTAGTCCCTTACAATTGACGAGTCTGTGAAAAAGGAAACCTTACAGGAGCCGGCGGGGAGTGTGTTGGGAACGGTGGGCTTGAGTTACAGCCGCTGCAGTGCGAAAGCTTCTGGGGGTGCTGTGTCGTGGGCTGAAGGCTGGGAGTGTAGACCCAGCCCCTTTCTACAGAGGGCTCATTTGAGGTCCAGAGGGTGGAATTGACTTTCCCAGGCGTCTCCCCGTGCTGGGCCTGGGATCCGTGGTCTCTGCAGAGACGAGGCTCGGGCACTGCCTAGGAGACAGACAGTAATGGACAGCGTCCGCGGATGGGTGGGGGTGATCCGCCAGGGCGGAGCTGGATCTACAGCCTCCTCTTCTCAATGCAGGGAGTCGACATCCGCCACAACAAAGACCGCAAGGTCCGGCGCAAGGAGCCCAAGAGCCAGGACATCTACCTGAGGCTGTTGGTCAAGGTGAGCCCGGGGTCTGTGACCTGTGGGCGGCCCCCCCCGCAATTCCCTGGGCCTCCATTCTAGTGCCTGCAGGGCAGGCTCACATCTCCGAGAGCTTCTGGAAGTTCAGTGTTTTTAGCTTTTGGGCTGCGACTAGCAGTGGGGTGAGGGGGGTCTCTGCGGCCTTGACCAGGATGGACCTGGGCCAGCCAGCTCTGTCCCGGCAGCTCGTTGGCACAGGGGAAAGCCCACAATCAGTTGTTCGCCCGTTCCTTCGAAAGTTAGGAGGGGTGCGGTGGGCTTCCTTGGGCTCTCAGTTCTGCTTTCTCCTTGTCCAGCTATACAGGTTCCTGGCCAGACGGACCAACTCCACCTTCAACCAAGTGGTACTGAAGAGGCTGTTTATGAGCCGCACCAACCGGCCGCCTCTGTCCCTTTCCCGGATGGTGAGGGGCTGTTGGGAGCGGGGCCAGCCCGGGGAGCACCTCGCTCGGGTCTGGAGTTGGGGTCTTCAGAGGGAGGGTGGGCTTGGAGCTCTGACCCTCAGGTGAGACTCCATTTCCACTGTCTCAGCTTCTTGGCCTTACTCTCCTTGTCACTGTTGGGGGAATGCTTAGAGGGGCTTCATTAGGTTGTCCAAGTCATACAACACAAGTCTTAACTTGTAGGAGAGGTCTGCTGAAAATTCTGTGCTTGAGCCTGAGGTCTGGCCTGTGCTGGTTCAAGAGGTGGCTGCACAGGCTGGTTTCGCCTGGTTGGGGTACAGCTATCTTCATCCAGCACACCGGAGGCAACAGGTTTGGGTTTTGAAAGGTCAGGTGGGGCTTAATGTTCCTGTCCTCCCCCAAAGATCAGGAAGATGAAGCTTCCTGGCCGAGAGGGCAAAACCGCAGTGGTGGTGGGTACGATAACCGATGACGTGCGTGTCCAGGAGGTGCCCAAGCTGAAGGTGAGTGAGGGGCTGTCAGCGCGGTGGTGGGTCGGGTGCACAGGCTGGGGTGGAGTCCCTCGGACCTGGCTCGGCCTTGGCTGCTGTGGTGCCACCAGCCTCCAGCAGCATCCTGGCCTCATCTCCAGGGTTACTTAGGCATCACACCTACTGGGTGGCTTTTGAGTCAAAGGTGGTTTGTGGCTGGCGTCACTGATGGGGGTGTCCCTGGGCCAGCCCCTCTGGGGCGGTGCTGGCTGTTGAGCCAGGCAGCCTGGGTTTGAGTCTAGGTTTCTCTGTCATTTTATCAACTTCTGGACAAAGTCCGAAATCTCTTTATGCCTCAATTTCCTTAAATGTAATGGCTCCCAGTTGTGGCCTTAGAGAAGTTTCTAGGAGTCAAGTGGTAAAAACAGCTGTGAGTAGCTCAGGAGGCCCTCTAACAGGTGTTTGTTGTCAGGACTTCCCTGTTGGGCCAGGGCAGTGACCAGTAAGTCCCAGCAGTCCCTGGGTGGCCGTGCAGGGGCCTCTGACTGAACCTGTCCTCTGTGCCCTAAGGTGTGTGCACTTCGGGTGAGCAGCCGAGCCCGGACCCGCATTCTCAAGGCTGGGGGCAAGATCCTCACCTTCGACCAGCTGGCCCTGGACTCCCCCAAGGGCTGTGGCACCGTCTTGCTTTCTGGTGAGCCACGTGTGGTCTCCTCTGGTGGGCTGGCGCCTGCCGACAGCCTTCCCCCTCCAGGTCTGGGAGGTCAGGGACCTCCCAGTCAGCCGGAGCCCTGGAGAGTGGTTCCTTGCAGGAGTCCTGGGTGCGGGGTTTCTGCCTGACCTCCCCCTCTCTTTCCGTCCCCAGGTCCTCGCAAGGGCCGAGAGGTGTACAAGCATTTCGGCAAGGCCCCAGGAACCCCTCACAGCCACACCAAGTGAGTGTGCCCAGCCCTGGCTCTTCCCCTGGCCCCCACAGTGCATGTGTAGGTACAGCTGCTGCTGTTTCTCACACTGGTCCAGCCTCAGGCCTCCCTGGAGCTCCCCACCCATCGCACCCACTTTCCCTTTGGGGCTCAGCTCAGAGCTGTGCACCCCTGGGTGTTGAGCTTCCCGGCAGCCAGTGTGCCAGGCACAGGCTCCACCTGAGGCTGAGTTGGCATCTGCCTGGTGGGGCCTGAATTTTACCCAAGCCTCCGGGCTCTGAGGCTGGCACCCCCAGGCCTGGCGCTGGCTTTGCCGATCCCTCCTGCCATCAGCTTCCCACACTGCCAGGCTTTTGTAGTGGCCCCGTGGTGTGTCACCTCCAACCTGTCCTGGGTTGAGCGGTCTCCTTGTGGTTCTGGGTCACTCCGCCAGAGCCCATGTTGCTGGCTTAGCCCCCAGTTTACATCAGGCCTGGCTCCATCTGTATGTAACTCTTTTCTCTTCCCGCAGACCCTACGTGCGATCCAAGGGCAGGAAGTTCGAGCGGGCGAGAGGCCGGCGGGCCAGCCGTGGCTACAAAAACTAACCCCAGATCCTACCTTGTTATTAAAAAGATTTTGGATGCTGACAGTCCTGTGTGTATTATTGGGATTGGGAGGGGAAGCTGTGGGCCCCGAAGGCATTTGTTTTGGGGAATTGAACATCGTGCTGTCTCCATGGAGACTAGTCCCTCCAGTTGTGTGGAGGCGAGTCCTCGCCCCCTCACGTCCGGTCCCAGGTGTTGGTCTGTATCAGCCTGCGGGCGCCCTCTAGCGGTCTAAGGCGTGTGCTCCGCTGTGCTGGGCCTCTGCACCTGTTGGACCCTTGCAGCCCACTCTTGCGGAAACCCTACCTGCTGAGAGGCCAGGTGTCAGCTGTTCCCCGCACCTGCTTCCCAGAATTAGCCACACCCTGTGCTCCCCTGCCCAGCGCTAGGGGCATTGGGCGGTGCTTGGACAGGGAAAGACAGGGAAGTGAGGAGGCGGGGCTGTGGTGGGGAAGGGATGTGTGGGAACAGGTGAGGCCCTCCCCCTCCCACCGAACCTGAGTCTGGCTGGCCACTGGCCTCCTGGGAGAGCAGCCTGGTGACTGCATGCTCCTGGGTCTGGACCTCATACCCTGGGCTCCACACCTCAGACCTCCCTTAGGGACCTGCGTGGGCCCTCCCTTGTGTTTACACAAGGGGCTGGGTTCCCAGGATCTGAGGGCGACGCCTGATGAATGAGGCCAGTCTGCCGGAAGAGCGGCCGAAATACAAGCAGGTCTGAAGACCCGGATTATACCGTCCCCCTGAAAAGGCAAGGGGAGATTAAGGGGGTGGGGAGCTGGCCGGAACCAGAGGGGACCAGGCTTTATTCCTCTTCTTTCTCTTTGCAGGGCTGGTCGCTGTTCTCTGGAGGAAGTGCTTGGGTGCTGGGGTCGGAAGGCGGGGCTGCTGGGTTGCACAGGTCAGGGGGACAGGGGCTAGGTCAGGAGCCTCGCACAGAGGGGTTCTTACCCTTACTCCAGTAGGAATGAGTGGACAGTCAGCAGGAGATAGTGGGATTCAGGCCAACGGGACGGGTCAGCTCAGCCAGGAGTCAGCATAGATCAGGGGGGCAGCCAGTCCCACGGACGGTGGCCAGTGAGTCCGGCCTCAGCCTGGATGGCTTGTGGAGAGCATGGGCTGGTGCCACGGTGATGAGTCCCCTCGTGGGGTGCATGCTACACTGTAGCAGCCTGAGCAGGGCACAGAGGCCAGGCCCGGGAGCAGGGTCCTCCATCCGCAGGGGAGACTGACCCAGTTCCCTGGCTGGGGAAGGGGAAGGGCAATGCCAAGGCTGACAGCTGGAGTGCATTTCCCCAAGGCTCAGAGAGGAGGAACCCGGAGCGGGCAGCCAGTGGGTGCTGGTGAGCTAGCCAGCTAGTTGTTGGGAGAAACAGACCCCCTGCACACAGCTGGGAGTGCCACCGGGTGTTCAGCTGGGGAGACAGTCAGCCAGAAGCGATAGATGCCTTCTAGACAATCAGAGAGACAGCCACAGACGGTCAGTTAGATGTGCTGCCAGCCAGGGGCAGACCGGCTGCCAACTCTCTCCCTTTGGTGAGGGACATCCAGGTGGTTGCAGACAGGCAGACAGCCTGTCCCCAGGAGGTGGTCAGTCAGGCAGCAGACTGTCGGCCAGGACAGGTGGGTGGTCAGCCCGTCCAAGCCTGAAGAGTCCATTGGTGCATCGTGTGCTGGCAGGCTGGATGCCGTGTGCCAGAGCAGAGATGGGCAGCTGATGAGTCATAGAATTGGAGACAGTGCCAGGCGGTCAGCCTAACCCACAAGCAGGGCCAGTTGTGAGGTCGGGCAGATCATCAGGGACAGCTGGCAGGAAGGTCAGAGGGCCAGCCAGTCATGGTGGCTGGAGACTGGCAGGCAGTTGGTCTGCACGGCACTGGGCGGTCAGTCATTCGGGAAGTCTGTCAGTGAGCCGGGACCTCGCGGGGAGCCCTTTGGACTTCCCTAGGGCTGTCCTGGGGGCCCTGCACAGGGTCTGCCCACAGCAGACGCCACATGGTCAGTGCCTCAGACACAGGCAAGCCCTCAGACACCCAGCCTCCAGATCCTCCCACCGGGTGGCCCGATGGCGGCCTCCCAGCTTGCGGCACTGGAAGGAGTGGATTCAGGGGCCGAGGGGCTGCCCCCGACGGAGACCAGCCTGGGCTTCCTGTACTCCGAGGGCCAGCGGCTGGCCCTGGAGGCTCTGCTGAGCGAGGGTGCGGAGGCGTTCGAGGCCTGCGTGCAGCGTGAGGGGCTGCAGCCCTTCCTGAGTGGGGATGAGCTCCGGGGCCTGGCAGCAGCGGCCGAGGACTGGACAGCAGCCAAACAGGAGCCCGGCAGGGTGGCGGAGGGAGCCGCGGTCGCCAATGGGGCCTCCGGCAGCCTGACCTACTGGCCCGGACAGTCAGAGGAGCCAGTGCCCGTGCTGCGGCTGGGCTGGCCAGAGGACTCGGGCTGGAAGGGCATCACGCGGGCGCAGCTGTACACCCAGCCACCCAGCGAGGGCCACCCACCCCTCAAGGAGCTGGTGCACCAGGAAATCCAGGCCGCCTGCAAGGTGGGGGCAGGGCCTCAGGGGCCTGGGGTCTCTTCCATGGACGTTCTCACGTGCAGACTCCCAGACCTGGGAGAGCGCACATCCCTTGGGACTGGGGCCAGTCCACACCCCCAAGACTTCATCTTCCTCCTCTCAGATGTGAGGGTCCCTTGTTTTCTCCCGGGGATCTGGGTGCCCTCAGGCATCCATGTCTTTTGGACCTAATCAGGACCCCCGCTTGGCTCAGTTGTCTGCTCCCCCCCGCCCCCACCCCAGGGAGGGCCCAGATGTCTCCCTTGCACCCCACACCCACCCCGGCCAGCCTGTTCTTAACAGATTTCGTGTTGGCCAGCTCCCATGCCAAGTACTGGACCTGGGTTAACATGTAATTCTCACCAGGACCTTGTGAGGTTAGGACTTACTACGTCCATTGAAGAGATGGGGAAACTGAGGCATGGGAGGCCAGGAAGTGGCCAGGCAGAGACATGAACCAAGGCTCTCTGACCCGTGGGTCAGGGCTCATTGCCACTGCCTTTTCCAGCCTGTGAGATCCCAACCCTCGGTCGCCCCCCGAGTCCCCGGAAGTCCCCTTGCTGACCTAGCAGGCCGGCCCTCCCATCTGCCCCGCCCCCTCAGAGATCCCGGCACCCCTGGATTCCCAGGTGTGCAGCTTCCCACAGCTCGCTGCAGAGGCTTCCAGCCCACCGACCCCTGGAGCAGGGCCCCCATGTAATGTCACAGCTCGGGGGATGCCATGCACCATTGTACACATGTGACCGATGGCGGTTTCCCAGCAGCTGGACGACTGTCCCTTTCTCCTTCACAGGCAGGCTCTGTGCGAACACCCCACAGAGGCCAGGCCGTTAAACACTCAGTTTCCAGAGCATGTCACCCCCAGCACCCCACCTCTGAGTGTCCCCCAAGCCCCAGGCTCTACCCACAGCCCCTCTCCCCACCTCCAGCTGGTGGCTGTCGTCATGGACGTATTCACTGACCCAGACCTGCTTTTGGACCTCGTGGAGTCAGCCACGCGTCGCTGGGTGCCTGTCTACCTGCTCCTGGACTGCCAGCAGCTGCCCGCCTTCCTGGCGCTGGCCCAGCAGCTGGAGGTGAACCCCTGGGCCACTGAGGTAGGGGCCTGGCTGCAGGGACTGCTGAGTCCCCTTCCCCCCCCCCCCGGTGCTGGGGGTACCAGAGGCAGACCCTCCCACGGGGTCCTGGGTCATCGAGGTGGGTGCCAGCTGAGAGGGTCCCCTGAGATAGGATGCCCCAGGCATTGGGGGAAGCAGGGTGGGCCAGCCACAAGGGTCCCTCTGAGTAGAGGGAATCTCCAGGAGACCCGTAAGGCCCAAGATTGGCGGCTCCGGGGAAGCTGGGACAGACCTTTCTACAAAGCCATGGGGCCCCCAGGTAAGACCAGCCTGGAGGGACCCCAACTGCATGCAGGTCCCGTGAGGTTAGCCTGAGCAAAGGTGTGTCCCCACCTCCCAGAACCTGGACATCCGCGTCGTGCGGGGCTGCAGTTTCCAGAGCCGCTGGCGACGGCAGGTGACTGGCAGGGTACGGGAGAAGTTCCTGCTGCTGGACGGCGAGAGGGTCATCTCGGGATCGTACAGGTGAAGCCCCCCAGCCACACTGCCCTGGCCACACTGTGTCCTGTCCCCAGCTCTCCCGCGGCGTGCTCAGAGAGCACTTGGGTCCTAGCAGGCTGGGGCAGGGGGCAGCGATCTGGGAGCAGCCGGCCTTGGTTCAAGGCCTTGCTCTGCCAGTTACTAGCTGGGCGACTATCTCCACCCCTGTGGGCCCCCGCAGAGCAGGGTGACGTGATTAGTGACCGGAGAGTAAGGTGTCACCACAGAGGCGCTCTCGAGTTTGGGGCCAGATGACCGTGGTGTGGGAGAGGGGCTCTCCTGGGCGTTGTAGCTGTGTCCCCGGCCTCTCCACCCAGCAGATGTCGGTAGCATCCCCTTCCCCAGGTATGACAACCCAGAACATCTCTAGACATTCCCAGGCACCCCCCATGACGGGCAGAAGTGCCCCCTGAGTGGAGGGCCGCTGCCCCAGACCAGTGGTTTTAGCCTTCAGCATGCTCCAGAGGGCTTGTTAACACACAGATTCCTGGGCCCCACCCCCATTCAGCCTGCCTGGGACAGGGCCTGGGGATTGGCATTTCTAGCTAGTTCCCTGGCGACGCTGGGCTGCTGGTCCCGGGACCGCCCCCGGAGGACCGCCAGGGTCAGGGCCGAAATGTTTCCAACAGAATCTGCCTTCCTGGCCTCTCGGGAGGATTCCTCGAGGTGATGCTCCCTGGCGTGTCACACACACCAAGCACTTCAAAAAAACCCCCAAAAGATGTGCTTCGTAAATACCAGCTGGAGTTTATTATATTTTTTACTATATTTCATTGACTTCAAGGTAGCACCCATGAAAGGAAGCATCCCCCCAATCAAAACATGGAAAGTTGTGGGTCTTAGGACCAATGAAGTACCGTAGTGCCCTCACACCCACGGGGCAGGGCCCCCACCACTAGGGCGGGCCTCAGGGTGCGTCACGGAGCCCGCGTGCCTGGTGGGCAGGCCTGGAAGCCAGGGCCACACGGGGTCGGCTAGGGCCTCTGGCCATTTAATGGGGGGAGGGGGAGGAGGCAGGGGCACGGGGAGCAGCAGAGCCTCGAGACCAGTCCCAGGCCCTGTCCTCCAGGCCGGTCACAGCCCACGGAGCAGCAGCACGCCCAGCGCCAGGCTGGTGGGGGTCCCCACCGGCCAGCTGCCTGCAGGGACCGGGGCCCTGTTACACAGGTTGCCGTAGCAGCAGGTGGAGACCAGGCTGTAGGTGACGCCCTGGTAGGTGACAGGCTCCTCGCGGCCACAGGAACTGGATTGCACGCAGCCCTTGTTGATGATGGGGCTGAGGCCGGGGGCCGTCCCCTGGCCCGTGAAGCAGTCCTCGTCGTTGCCGCAGTTCATGGGGATGCCAGGGCAGCTCAGGGAGTCGGTCAGCTCACAGAACAGGCAGTTCTTGGTGCCCGTCGTGCCTGGGGGCAGAGCCATGCCCAGCAGCAGCAGCCAGCTGAGGACCATGGTGGCCTGGCGGTGGTGCCAGTGCCCGAGCCAGGCCGAGGGCGCCTTGGGCCTCGCAGAACTGCTGAAGGGTGCTCCTCACGCCCACAAGGCTTGGGCCCCTGGCTCTGGGCTCCTGCTGTCAGCACGTGGCGTGTCCTCGGTTCCCAGTGCTCTGAGTCCCTCTCAGGAGCTTTGCGGTGACCACGGATCTCAAGTCCCCGGGTCTCAGAAGCTTCTTCCCCGGGACAGAGACGAACCAGTGGCTGCCGCCCAATAAGATGCTTTGTGGAGTGGAATGGGGTGACCTCACAGACCCTTCAGGGCTCCCACTGGCCACTCTGGGGGTGATGTCATAGGTGGGGGAGGGGTGTCACAATCTGAGGGACAGGCTGGCCCGCTGACCTGTTAGGGAACAAGGACAATGCCACTCAGCTGAGGCAAGAACGCTCGGGCCCAGCGCTTGCCTTCCTGCCCACTGAGTTGTCCGCTCCGCTGGGTGCTGGGCTCCGGGCGCTGCGTCTGCCGAGTGCCCCTGGTGAGCCCCCTTGTGCAGGTGGGCAGACTGAGGCTTGGGAGGAGAAAGTGGTGTGAGCTCAGGTTGACTTAATTCCAAAGAGGGCATTTATTGAGCACCTACTGTGTGCGAGACTGGTGCTAGATGATTTCAATAGCAACCACTACAATGGCAGACTAGTAGGCTTCCCGTGATGGGCGCCGTGCTGGGCGCCGTGCAGGGAGCTCGACCCGTGTCCTCTCATGCGCACCTTCCTGCATTCCAGCTCCATCTGTCGGATGTGCAGACGGGCACCCGGAGCAGGCACAGCCAGAGCCTGGCACACAGCAAGTGCTTAATAAATGGGGGTCCTTGTAGGAAGCAGCTGAGTCTCAAAACAGTCCCCACCTGTGTCAGAGAACAAACCCTGTCTCTTTCCAGAGGGGAAACTGAGGCGTCCCTCAGTGGGAACAGGATGAGCCCAGGTTGAAACTCACGTCTGATTCCAGATGCTAATTTACGTATCTTTTTTTTTAAAGATTTTATTTATTTTTATTTGTAGAGAGGGGAAGGGAAGGAGAAAAAGAGGGAGAGACACATCAATGTGTGGTTGCCTCTCACATGCCCCCTACTGGGGACCTGGCCCACAACCCAGGCGTGTGCCCTGACTGGGAATTGAACCTGCAGCCCTTTGGTTCGCAGGCCAGCACTCAATCCACTGAACCACACCAGCCAATTTACGTATCTTAACATGCTGTCCTCATGGAGGAGGTACCTTGGTGGCTCCCATTTTACAGAGGGGCATATTGAGGTGGGAGTGTGGCAGGATTTTCCCGAAGTCACGGTCACACAGCCTGCCCTGTGACTAGGTGAGGGATGGGTGATGGGGGCCAGGCTGGGTCTCTGGGGCCTCACGGAGGTCCTGACCGCCCTCCCCATGCCACCCAGCTTTACGTGGAGCGACTCACGCCTTCACCGAGGCCTGGTGACCCTGCTGACCGGCGAGATTGTCGACGCCTTCAGCCGTGAGTTCAGGACTCTGTACGCGGCCTCCTGGCCTCTCCCACCCGCGCCCACTCCGGGCCCCTTCGTCAGCACCCTGGGGGGGCTGAAGCTGGCCCACAGCCCTCACTGCGTGGCCCGCCGCCTCTCCGTGGCCCCCGTGTCACCGCCGCTGCCTGATGTCTCACCGCTGGCCCAACGCCTGGCCGCCTGCCGAGTCTTCGGCAAGGACAGGCAGGAAGCCCCGGCCATTCCAGGGCCGGCACTGAGTGACATCTTGAGGAGCATCCAGCGCGCCCGGACCCCCAGCGGCCCTCCAGCCAGGCCCAGCCGGTCCCTGTGGGACCTGAGCCGCCTGTCCCAGCTGTCGGACTCCAGTGACGGTGATGAGGTGAGACCTGGTGGCCATGAGAATGGCCGGAAGAGGCCCAAAAGGGCGAAGGTGCTTGTCCAAGGTCATGAAGCTGGGCTGGAGGGTTCCTGCTCTTCTGAGGGCCTACTATGTGCCTGGTCCCGGGGAGGTGGGGGAACCAAGCTGTTCGTGAGTTTCTTTCTCTCTTTCCTTCCTTCCCTCCCTCTCTCTCTTTCTTTTTAAGATTATTTATTTATTTTTAGACAGATGGGAAGTGAGGGAGAAGAGAGGGAGAGAAACATCAGTGTGTGGTTGTCTCATGCCCCTACTACTGGGGACCTGGCCGGCAACCTAGGTATGTGCCCTGAATGGGAATCGAACCATTGACCCTTTGGTTTGAAAGCTAGCGCTCAACCCACTGAGCCACACCAGCCAGGGCTGTTCACCTGAGTTGCTAATCATACCACCTGTTTCCTGTACCCACACTGTGTGCAGCGCACTCGGTGGCAAGGAGCAGAAGCCCTGAGAGCCCTGAGTGCAAATCGCACCGTGGCTGTGAGAACCGGGCGGGGTGGGGGTGGGGTGGGTTTGGTTGGGAGCCTGCTTTCTCTGAGCCGCTGTGTTCTCCTAGCGAATGGCCAGAGCGGTCGCTTTGTCCTCGGTTTGCTTGGGAGGAGAAGTCATCAGAATGAAATGGACCCATAGTCGTTCTATGATAAATGCCCCAAATGGAATTTGTTTCACCACATCCTCCTGCCAGGGCAGTGAGGCCAGACGCCCGCCCTGCGCGTGGCTGTGGATGGGAAAGCTGAGGGCCAGCGAGGCTGCGGAACTCGCCGAGGCTGAGACCACGGTCTTCTGGTCTTCCGAGGCCCCTTCCCAGGCACCAGGCCCCACGCCAGCGCCTTCGGGATCATGGCTAAATTCAACCTTTGCCACAGTCCTGGGAGGTGGATGGTGTTATGGCTCCCCACCCACTCATTTCGCAGATGGGGAAACTGAGGCACTAGGGAGGCTTGGAACTCAGCCCTGGTTGCCTCCCAGGTGGGGCTTTGAAGTCCTCTGTGTGCTGGCTCCCCAGATTTGAGGGTCATGAGCTCAGGGGGTCCCTTCTCCCACAGCTGCCTAGACACTGAGGTTTCAGCAGGGCCTGGCCCTTTCTCTGAGGCCCCTGGGCAGAGCCTCGGTGTCCTTGGCTGTACGGTGGGGCGCTGAGAGGACAAGAGACTGGCCCTGGATACAGGCTGACCCGGGAGACCGGCCCTCTGGGAGCTGTGCCCTCTCTGAGCCTGTTTCCCGTCTGCTAAGCGGGAGCTAGAGGCCTGTCCTGAAGGTGAAGGAAAAATTTCTCAGGAATTGCCTCCCTGGTCCCAGATGGGTGGGGCGGGGCCAAGGTCCTCACCTCCACCTGGTCCTCGGCTGCCCTCACCCAGTGTCGCCTCCCTTGGCAAATATTTGCTCCCCTGGGGGAGCTGCTGGCTCCTTCCTGTTCCTCCCGAGCTGCAAAGCGGCCCACAGGTGGGACACCCCTCCCAGCCCCCACTGGGAGTCCCAGGCCGCCCTGCTCCTGTTCCTCCTGGTTCTGGAGCTCGGAGCCTTCTCACCTCCCCTCAGAGTGTCACGCCCTCTTCCCTCCCCTCCGCCTTCTGGGTCGTCGCTCCCTCGTCTCACCTCCTCTCTCTCATTCTCCGTGTGCCTTCTCTGGCTTCTACCTGCTCCCCGAACTCCGCCCGAGAGCCCGCTCTCACCTCCCTCTCTTTCCCTCCACAGCTCAGGAAGTCCTGGGGCTCCAAGGACACCCCAGCCAAGGCCCTGATGAGGCAGAGGGGCACCGGGGGCACCGCCAGGGGGGAGGCGGATTCCCGGCCGCCCTCCGGGCCCCAGCCCTGGGGCGGCCCCCGGCCCCTCATCCCTGCCCGCCGCTTCCGCTACCTGTCCCCGACCCGAAGGAGGTTTGGGGACGATGCTGCACCCAAACCCCCGGGACCCAGAGGCGGCCGGCAGCCAGACTGGGCCACCGGGGCAGGACTCAGGGGGCGACCCTGACAGGAGCCCATGCCGTTCTGGGCTGGCCCGTCCCAGGAGACTCGAGGACAGTCTGCCCAGAGCCCCCACCTCGCCTCCGAGTGTGGGAAGCAGAAGGGATTTTCTCCCACTTATTCAGGAACGTGGGCAACTCCCACGCCCACTTGACCTCAGTGTCGTGGTCTAGAAGGTGCGCACACTGTCTCCATGAGCTGGGATCCTGGACAGTGGACACCCCACCCGGCCTCATCGGAGCCCCCCCCCCAGGGGAGGTCTGGCTGAGCAGCACCCATGCTGGCTTGTGTGGGTGGACGATGGGGAGTCCCCCGGGATGCACTGGCTCCAGAGTGTGAGCTCAACTGAGGGGAGGAGAGACCCCAATCCAGGGAGCAGAGCTGAATAATGGGGGACTGGGGATCAGTGGGGACACAGCTGCTGGGGACCAGCTCAGGGTTCTGGAGAGGCACTGGGCAGATGCTGGGACAGTTTTGTGGGTGCTCAGGGGTGAGTGGTTGGGGTTCCCTTTTACCTCTGCTCAGAATACACCTGCTTCATGTCAGAAACTCGCATTTCCATGGCCTAGCAGGAGACCTAGGAGTCCAGGCCGCTGGCCCCTCCTCCCTCAGACCCAGGAGACCAGGCCCCCAGCCCCTCCCCCCTCCAACACTGGGGTCCTGGTCCCTGACCCCCTTCTTCCCAAGGACCCAGGAGTCTTGGCGGCAGCACTCTGACCATGGGGGAGTCAGGTGCCCAGAGCTGCTGGGCTTTGGCATGCCAGGTGGGGAAGAGGGCCTCGCCCTGGGGAGGCCTTGTTGCCGGGGGAGGATGGGGACCCAGCCTCCGCCCGCACTCCCGCGCGCCCCCTGCCGTCCTCCCGTGGCATGCCCCCTCCATAACACAGCCAGGAGCCGGGGCAGGAGCGATGCGTTTATTCTCAAGGTTGTGGAGAAGGGTGCTCGGAGGCCCGCTCTGGGTTGGGGCTGGGGTCAGGGCTGGGGTCCGGGTCCGGACTGGCATCCTCGGGGTCCTCATCCCAGGGGAAGGCCGGCAGCCCCCGCATCCGCTCGCGGTAGACACGGTCGAAGGCCTGACTCTGCGCCACGGTGAAGTGGTTCTTCCAGTCTCCGCAGACCCCTGGGGTGGAGGTGGGGGTGGGGGTAGGGGTGGGTCGTGCAAGGTGAGGACCATTGGGAGCACCGGCCCAACATCCCAGCACCCTGTTTCCCACCTCTGGAGCTTATGCCAGAGGCTCCATCCTCCCCCCACCCCTGCCCCATTTCCATTTTGCCCCTTTCATGCCTGTGTTGCTGACTCGAACACTGGCCACGGAGGACCTGTCCAGACCCCTGGGTACCATCCCTGCCCCCTGCTCATCCAGCCAGCAGACCACTTTCCTGCCCCCACTTTACCCTGACACCTTCAATCTCTGCCCAAAACACCCGCCTCCCCATCTAGCCTTCCCGCACTCCTGGCGCAGCCCCTGGGGTCGTGGCCCCTGTGCCCTGTCACTAACCTGAGGTCTAGAACAGGGCCTCCTTGCCCCCGGGCGTTGCCTCGCCCTCTACGGCTTCCACTACTGCGCTGACACTGGGAACCGCGCTTCCCTTGCCTTCACTCACTCACTGGGGCCATGTGTGCTGTGGAAGGTTTTTGACCTTCACAGCAACCCAGCAGGCCAGGGGCGGGGCCCTGCTACCCTCCCTCCCTCCCCAACCCTCCGTGTCCGGGCCTGGGATTCCCCCAGTCTCAGGTCATCACTGGGCTCTGCCCCTTACCTGGAACCCTAGGGCCAATGTCACTTGGGTGACAGCATTTTGAATGTTAGCAGGTGCCTTCACCACATATTCCGTGACACCCCTAGTGAGGTCTGAGGGGGCTCCCTATATCGGGCTGAGTGATGACTGCCCCCCCCCACCCCCGCCAGATGTCCTCGTCCTAATCCTTGGAACCCACTCAGAGGTGACCTTCTGTGGCAAAAGGGACTTTGTAGATGTGATTAAGTCAAAGGTGGGGGGAGGATGCTGGTTTATCCAGGGGGACCCCACTCCATCACAAGGGTCCTCGTAAGAGGAGGCAGGAGGGTCAAAGTCGGACACGAGGCTAGGCTGCAGACTTGGGGGACCGAGGGAGGGACCCGGAGCCAAGGAACGCGGGCCGGACCGGAAGCCGGCCCCACATGACCGGAAGCCGGAAAGGCAGGACCCACGCTGCCCTAGAGCCTCCGGAAGGAACGGGAGCCTGCTGACAGTGTCTGTGCAGTCAGACTGACTTTCAACGTCTGAGCTCCGGAATTACGAGAGTAAATGTGTGTTTTCAGCCACTACGTTTGTGGACATTTGTTACAGTAGCCACAGGAAACTAACACGTTTCCGGCCCTCACCAGTCAGGCCACAGCTGAGTGTGTGGGTAGCCCACTCCGTTCAGAGCCGCCTGGCCTTTCCTTCCCATTGGCAGCTCTCGGGGGTCGGGGGTGGGGGGGGTGAGGCCTGGGGCGACAGGCACGCTCCCAGCACCTGCTGCCACCAGGCCCCTGCCGAGCCCCGTGTGTGTGCGCGCCCAGAGCCAGTGTTGAGTCCACAGTGACGCTGTGAAGGCAGTCCTGCTCAGGGCACCTCCCCCCAATTACAGCAGGGGCAACTAAGGCCCGAGCCACACAGCAGTCCTGTACCTTTCCGGAGGAAGGCCCCACGGCGCTGGTCCAGCAGGCTGGGGGGCAGCAGCGTGAAGTTGGACATGGGATTGGCCTTCATGGCTTCAAAGGCCGAGTGTGCCACCACAGAGGCCAGCGCCTCCTCGCTCAGCTGCCAGCCCAGGAACTGGCAGACACGCCGAACGGAGCCGGGGAGGTCCTGCGGGCAGAGGGGACGGGTCAGGGTGGCTGGCAGAGAAAGGGGATCCCAGGCGAGGAAGGAACCCCAGACCCAGAGTTTGGATGTCGGAGCACCAACCCAGACTTGGCTGTGGGGCTCCACACTGCTTTGCCTAAGTTTTCCCAGGCCAAGGGGTTGGGCTATGGCCTTGGAGGGTTCTGTGCTGGGAGGGAAGGGGTGAAGCAGGGTCAGAGGTCACAGCAGGGGTCAGAGGTCAGCACCTTATGTGGAATCACCCTCCTTGAGGTTAGAAACGGGGTGTCAGCCAGTCTGTGCCCCAGACCAGTTCCTCCCCCAGATCTCCATCCCAGAGCAGCCCCATGGCTCACCCAGTCACTGACTGGGCCAGACTCCTGGCCTGGCCAACCCCCCTCCCCTCCCCCCTCTGTCTCTGTCAGTCACCAGCCCCACCCCTCCGCCCTTGACTCTCTCTGCCACGTCCCCTGTGTCCCTATAGCCCTGGCACTGGTCAGACCTGATTCTCTCTCTATAAACCCTTGCCCCACTTCCTCCCTGGCCTCCCTGCCTCCAGCGCCCCACACCCAGACCTGAGCCTGCTCCCAGCCTTCCTCTGGCTCCCTGGTGCCCAGAGACAAGAGTTCCAGTCTCCAGGCCTGGCTTTCAAGGACAGGTGTAGTGGCCCTTCTAAGGTGCTCCCCTCTTCCCAGGGGCACACCATCCCCTGCACCGTCCTCCCCCTTCTGGGCATGGGGCTGCCAGGAGGGCCCTGCCCCCACCCCCGTCGCACCTGGCAACCCTCCCCATCCAGATGCAGTGCAAGGACCTCTGGCCCGTGACCTCCACAATCCAAATCACTGCGGACTGAGCACCTGCTGTGTACCCAGCCTTGGTCCAAGCCCCGCAGGTGCATCTGCATTGATCCTGCCCATAGCCTTGCAGAGAGATGCCAGCATCTCCAATCAGTACACGGAGGCTCAAAGAGGGGAAGACACTTGTCCAGGGTCACACAGCCCTCCGCTCCACCTCTCGGCCTGCCCCCATCTGTGCCCATCCAGGACAGCCAGCCTCCTGGTCAGCTCCACCCGCGCCTCGGCCCCAGTTTTCCAGGTCATGCCTGGTTTCATAACCACCCAGCCCTTCATCCTGTCGAACCACTGACGTGCCCCAGAAATTCTAACAAGTTGGCAGTCCCTCACACCCAGGGGCAGCCCAGATGCTCTGTCAGGCTCCATGGCCCAGTTTTGGGTTTGGAGAAGAAAGCTGGATGGAAAAGGCGGAGGAGGGGTAACTCCAGAAATCTTTTCAGGATCTTTCCATCAAAAGACATTTACCAGGATGAAGAAAAAGAAACCACCCATGGGGCCCAGGGGCTGTGTGCCTCAGACTCTCTCTAAGTGATAAACCCCCATTTCCTCCTCTTTATTTATTTGTTTATTTTTAGCAAAAGGGGAAGGGGAGGGAGAAAGAGAGAGAGAGAAATATTGGTCAGTTGCCTCTCACACACACCCTGGACCAGGGACCGAACCTGCAACCTGGGTATGTACCCCAATTAGGAATTGAACCAGCAACCTTTTGCTTTACAGGACAACACCCACCCAAGTGAGCCACACTGGTCAGGGCTGTTACTGCCTCTTAAAATGGGAATAATAACACCATTGGGGTGAACCATATAAAATTACCAAATGTCAGCAAGTTCAGGTGATTCCGTGCCATGGTAGCTCACCTGCCTGCACTTGGTGAGGATTAAATGAGATCGATAACCCATGTGTAGCATCCGGTGCACGGGGTTTGCTGTTTCTGTTGTTACTAATCAGGCCCTTGCTCAGAACCTGATCACTCTTACTTTTTAAGTATTTTTTTAAAGATTTTATTTATTTATGTTTAGAGAGAGGGAAAGGCAGGGAGAAAGAGGAGAGAAACATCAATGTGTGGTTACCCCTCACATGCCCCCTACTGGGGACCTGGCCCACAACCCAGGCATGCACCCTGACTGGGAATCAAACCAGCAACCCTTTGCTTCACAGTCCGGCACTCCATCCACTGAGCCACACCAGCCAAGGCAGAACCTGCTCCCTCTCACTTTGCACACTATGCTAATGTTCTGGCATCTAACCCGCTTGGGTGGTGGCAACAGGCCGGTGCTGGGTACTGTGGCCCTCACAACAGTGCTGTGAGGGTGCATTTCCCACCCATTTTAAGGATGAGACCTCTGAGGTTCTGAGATTTGAACTGCTTCCCTGGACACCAAAATCCAGTCTCTTCCCACTACAAAAAGTACTGACAGAAAGGAGAGCCCAGAAAATACACGAAGGGTACACAGGAGAAGGAAACATTCCTGGGGCCGTTGGTGAAAGGACATGTACTGGGAGCGTCCCTGGCTTTGGGACTCTGGGGACAGATTAAACACCTAGAACAGCTGAACACATTTGCTGTGGACTATTCCAGCTAGAAGTCCAGCATCCTCCGTGCAGCTGGACAAAGCCCTAGGCATTTCGAATGGCCCCTACCTCCAGGAAGCCCTCCCTGATTGTTCCAGCCAGAAGGCGTCTCTCTCCAGGGTGCCTGTCCCAGGTTACCCAGACAGGATCCCAGTCTAACGCCAAAGTTGTTTTCTCCCACCACTTCCCTCGGCCTTTCAGGTCCCAGCCACCAATGAAGGTCGCCATCCACGTGCCACGGTTTCTCGTGATGTCGTCGATCCCATCACCTACCATGCTCAGAGTCCACCTAGG